GATAGAGAGTTAGAAACATCAATGAGAGAGAAACATTGATCAGCTGCCTTCTGCACACCTCCTACTGGGGATGTGCCCACAACCAAGGTACATGCCCTTGACCGGAATCGAACCTGGGACCCTTCAGTCCGCAGGCCAATGCTCTATCCACTGAGCCAAACCAGTTAGGGCACTACCCTTGTTTTAATCAGACTATAAAATAAAGCAGCAGCTAGCAGGCTGGGTCTTGTGTGTCCTCATCCAGGCATGGGAGATCCACAGAGCCCTCGCTGTATTCTCTTGTCTTGTCTTTTCTTCAATCCTTCACTGGCCCTCCTCAGGCTCACCCACGGCTGTGCTGGTGTGGCACAAAAATCAATAAAAATATATTAAGAAAACAACAACAACAACAAAAAAGGAAATCTTTTTATTTCAAAATGATAACATATGAACAGTTTCATTGCCAAGCAAGATGGAGGAGCAGGGACTTGGATTTGCCCTCCTTCCTGAAAACAGCCCCCAAACCAGACGAAACGTGTGCAACAATAACGGTGCTCAAGACATCAGTCCAGGGAGGAGAGATATCCCGGAGAGATGGGGAACGTCGAGCTGAGCCCTGAAATCGCCACAGCCCCTGTCATCAGAGCGTTTCCCACCATGGGACTTGGGGGGAGGGGAACTGAGGCACAGCACCTCCCAAAGGCCCCCCAAAAACTGCTCTAAAAAAACAAAGTCTACTTTTTAAACATGCTCAAACCAAAAGAAGGCAGGAAAAGAGGAAAAGGCGCCTGGCTGGGGTGGCTCAGTGGTTGAGCGTCGACCTATGACCCAGGAGGTCACCATTTGCTTCCCCTGTCAGAGCACATGCCCGGGTTGCGGCTCGATCCCCAGTGGGGGGCGTGCAGGAGGCAGCCGATCCATGATTCTCTCTCATCATTGATGTTTCTCTCTCCCCTCTCCCTCCCTCTCTCTGAAAAAACAAACCTAACAAAATAAAATAAAATGAGGAGAGGGGAACAAAGGAAGGGGGACAGCTGCCCTGTCCCTGGAGTAGCTCACTCTGTCTCACTGCTTCACTCATAAACTCTCTTTCACTTTAAACTCTAAAAAAAAAAAAAAAAAAGCCAGAAAAGAAAAAAAAGAACCATGGACACAGAAATCCTATAGCAAGTCAATAGATTTAAACGTCACGGTACCAATGATCACCTTAAAGAACAGTGACAAACACTGCTTTTAAAAGCCAGAGATTGGACCTGACTGGTTTGGCTCAGGGGATAGAGCGCTGGCCTGCGGACTGAAGGGTCCCAGGTTCGATTCCCGTCAAGGGCATGTACCTTGGTTGTGGGCACATCCCCAGTAGGGGGTGTGCAGGAGGCAGCTGATGGATGTTTCTCTCTCATCGATGTTTCTAACTCTCTATCCCTCTCCCTTCCTCTCTGTAAAAATCAATAAAATATATTTTAAAAAAATAAAAGGCAGAGGTTAAGAGGGGAGGGGCTTATAGGGGTGGAACTCCGGTCAAAGCAGGTTAGGGCGGAACCTTTGGCTCTTTCGGGAAATTGTTCAAAATAAGTAAGTAAATAAATAAAAGGCAGAGATTGCAGGCTTAGGGGGAAAAGAAAGATCCGACTAGATGCTGGGTACAAGAACCCACCTTAAATATGGGGGAGACAAACTAAAGGGACGCTAAATACTGAATACACTGTGGTCCCCTGGGTTGGACTCAATGACATTAGTGGGAAAGGTGGCGACATTCACATGAAGTCTGCGGTCTAGTGAGTAGCCAAGAGCCAACGTGGGCTTCTTAGTTGTGACAGATCCTACAGTCACAGGAGGTGAGGGCATCGGGGCCCTGCACCCCCACCCCCACCCCAGCCTTTCTGTGAATCTACAATTATTCTAATGGCAATCACCGGAGACGCAGGGATCAAAGGGAACGCGCAGAATAGCAAAACCTGGGGAGGAAGCGCCTTGGAATGCTGCTCCGCCACCTGCTGTCGCTGCGGGAGACCCGTCCTGCACCCGGACGGGGTGATTTTATCCGGGTCCTGGAGGGAAACACTTGCAAGTTTCGTTACGAGAAGTTTAAAAAAATAGGCCTGTTTACAGAGATGGTGCAAACACTCCTCAGCCTCCATCAGCGGCCTCGCAGGACCTGCTACCTGGCCCCCTGTACGGACCTGCTACCTGCCCCCCTGTACGGGCCTGCTACCTGCTCCGCCACCTGCTGTCGCTGCACTTGCAAGTTTCGTTACGAGAAGTTTAAAAAAATAGGCCTGTTTACAGAGATGGTGCAAACACTCCTCACCCTACATCAGCGGCCTCGCGGACCTGCTACCTGCCACAACCGGCCACCTGCCCCCCTGTACGGGCCTGCTACCTGCCCCCCTGTACGGACCGGCTACCTGCCCCCCTCTACGGGCCTGCCTCTTCACCAGGACCCCACACCTGTATTTTGCCGTCACCCCTCTCTGCTCCGCTAAGCGGGACTCGTCTCCAAGCGTGGGCAACCCCCGTCCCCTCTGCCGGACCGGCCGTTCCGTTTCAGGGATTAAGGGCGCTTCCATTTCCGGTGGGGCCTGTGTTCACCCCTTTTTGCGCTCGTCATTCCCTTCCCCAGGCTCCCCCGTCCCTGGACGGCGGGCAGTCCCACAAGTCCCAGCCACCCTGTTTTATGCCTACAATCGGAGTAGTAAATGGCTACCACGAACGCAGCCAAAACTCGGCTAAAGGACGAACGCAACGCCCAACCCGGTCGCGCGTGTCCCCTCGGGGCCACCGTCCCCACCCCGTCTTCCGGCTTGTCAGGAGAGCCCGCCCCCTGAGTGCGTAGGCGGGAGGGCGGGCTCAAAGCCCAGAGCACGACGCCCATTGGCTGTGAAGGGTCGCCTGGGGGGCGGGGAGGGACGAGGCCTGCGGCTGACGTCATGACGCCGCGCTCCGAACGTCGAAGCTCAAGGAAGACCGGAGTCAGCCAGCTCGCGAGCCTCCCCTCGGAGGTGGTGTTGTCGCCTTAGCCCGCAGCTGCCGAGTCCCCGAAGCGAACGGCGGAGGTGGGTGTGAGGGGCGGGGAGCCGGCGGAACCCCCCTTCTCTTTCCCCTTTAAGACTTTCCCCAGGGCCGTCCCCTCACTTTTGTAGGATTTCCGGGTTCTCCAGCCGGATTCGCCTTGGAGCTCACCCGAACTTGTCATTATCCCTTCGGGTTTAGGACCCGCCCCCCCTTCCCCAGTCCTTGCCCCCAAGACACCCATTCACTTCCTTGTATCCTCCCCACCCGCCTCTCACCTTCCGAAAGGGCTCCGGCACCCCGCGGCTTTCTCTGCTCACCCCACCTCCTCCCCGCAGGCCCACCCCTCCCTCTAGGTCGGGAGCCTTCGGGAACCTTTCTGAAGTTCTCTCTCTCTCTCTCTCTCTCTTTCTCTCTCTCTCTCCCCCTCTCCCCCTCTTCTCTTTCTCTCTCCTCTTAAGATGGGTGGGGAGCGTCCGGTCCAAGGGCCCCGACATCTGGTCTGGCCCTGCCGAGGCGTGAGGGTGTGTTAATTAAATGTCTGACCCATTTTTAAGCTGATGGTTTTGTATGGGCCTCGATTGTTGTTACAAACGTCCTGCTGTCCCCGGGCAGGAAGGAGGTTCCCACCCCTGTGCTCAGCTGTCTGGGAAGCCATTGTCTCACGGTGACATTCCCCCTGGGCACCCTCGACTTCTCCAAAAACCCCCCTTTCCGCTGTGTTTTTTGTTTTGTTTCTTTTCTTTTCCCCTCTGTGTTTTGCTGGAGGCTGGGTCAGAGGCTGGGTCAGACGCTGCCCTCTTGACCGAGTTCTCCCAGCCCTGAGGGTGCCCTCGCTCCGCTGCTGCTCAGGAATTCACAGAGTCCGTCCTCACCCTTGGCGAGGTCCCCACCCCGCCCTCTGACCTCCCCCTGTCTCGGGGTGCCCCTCCTCCTTCCCTTTCATAGTGGGTTTCAGATCCTTCTCCTTCCCTCTGGGGAATCCCCTCAGACTTCTGTCTGTTTCCAGTCTTTCGCTTTCCACCCAGAGCCCTGCAGGGAGGCCAGCCCCCCCCCCACGGTGGCCCTTTGGTCCCACACTCTGCCCCGGGGCTCCCCTCTCACGCTCCCCTTCCTGCCTGGCTTCCCTGAGTCCATCTGCTTCTCGCCCCCACTTTGTGAGGTTTCTTTTGCTGCTGCTTGAGTCTCTCCAACCCAGCGGTTCTCAACCTGGGGGTCGCGACCCCTTTGGGGGTCGAACGACCCTTTCACAGAGGTCACCTAAGACCATCGGAAAACACATAGATAATTACATATTGTTTTTGTGATGAATCACTATGCTTTAATTATGTTCCATTTGTAACAATGAAAATACATCCTGCATATCAGATGTTTACATTACGATTCATAACAGTAGCAACATTACAGTTATGAAGTAGCAACGAAAATAATTTTATGGTTGGGGGTCACCACAACATGAGGAGCTGTATGAAAGGGTCGCGGCATTAGGAAGGTTGAGAACCACTGCCCTAACGGATTCTTTTCTCGCAGACGGTGAAAAAGCAATCTGGCTCCCGAGGTCCCCCCCTTACACCCCAGGGTCCAGATGGCGGCCAATGTGGGTGATCAGCGCGGCACCGACTGGTTAGTGGGCAAGAGGGACAGGGGGGGTGGCAAGAGGAGCGAGCCCCAGAGTCCTCCTCCTCCGGGTAGGGCCTTGGGCGCCAGGGGCAGTGATGCCGCCGCCCCTGGGGGTCAGGGCAGGGCTGGCCCACTGGCCGCAGAGTGAGGGAGCCTGGGCTGCCTGTGGGGCGTCAAGCCTTCAGAGCCCTCACTTGCCACGGTCCAGTGCTGGTTTGCAAGATCACGATGCTTTGTTCAGGGAACCGATTGGGGGCAACCTCCAGCACTTAGCTGCTTATCTTCTTGCAAATTCCTTATTTTTTTCTAAAACTGTGATTATAACCTGCTGAGTGGGGTGTTGTGAGAAAGAATTCCTTATTTTTTCCAAAACAGTGTGATTATAGCCTACGGAGTGGGGTGGTGTCGGACAGAATTCATTGTTCCTAGACCACTTAGACCTGCCAGGCACCAGGTCCTGTGTTCAGGTCTGCAGGTTCTGGTGCTTTGTTTGCTTTATATTTAACAACTGCTGTGCACCAGGCCCTGCACAAGTCCGTTAGGTAGGGAATCTCATTGACTCCACACAGAAAACCGACACAGAAACGGGGTGTCAGCACGTCCTAGATTGGGGGATTTAGGCTGCAGGGGCCAGCGAGAGGGACCTGTGATCCCACAGGGTGGGTGGTGGCCTTTCCCCCCTCGCCCCCCCTCCCCACGCAGTCGGGACAGCAGCCGACTCTGTGCTCTCCGCAGGTCCTCCCAGTACAGCATGGTGGCCGGGGCAGGCAGGGAGAACGGCATGGAGACGCCCATGCACGAGAACCCGGAGTGGGAGAAGGCCCGCCAGGCCCTGGCCAGCATCAGCAAGGCGGGCGCTGCCGGCAGCTCCAAGGCCAGCAGCAACGGGCCTGTGGCCGGCTCACAGGTGAGGAGGCCACACGGCCTGGGCACCCTGGGGGGGGAGGTCGCTGGGGGAGGGACAGCTTGGTACCCTCTCGGGTCACTGAGCCCCAGTGCTCCCAGAGTGGGGGAGGCAAGGGCCGTTCGGCGAAGCGCCCAGGGTGCCAGTGTCCCCTCCCTGAGGTGCCTGAGTCTGAGGGCAGAGGCGGTGGCTCTGTGGAGAGACGGTCCCAGCCTGTTCCTGGGCAGTTACCCTGTTTCCTGGTTAAGGGGGTCGTGGCCCGTGGGCTCCTGCTGCCCAGGCTGACGGCGCGTGGGCCTCTCCCCACAGTATGTGTCTCAGGCGGAAGCCTCGGCCCTGCAGCAGCAGCAGTACTACCAGTGGTACCAGCAGTACAGCTACGCCTACCCCTACAGCTACTACTACCCCGTGGTGAGTGCACCCTCCCCGTCCCCGTCCCCGTCCCCGTGGCACTCCAAGTCCTCGCCCTGCCTTCCCCGTGCTCATTGCACAGGACCTCCATCTGCCCACACCACGGCCACGCGTGCCCTGTGGCCACTGTGCTTCCTGCGGGCCCAGCCTCGCTGTGTCCTCCCTCGCTCCCCAGAGGGCGCCTTTCTCTGAGGAGCTTTGTTATTGAAAGGCGTACGCCCTGCCCTCCGCTCTGCTGCTCTCCTTGGCCTTTTCTTTACGGGTTACCTGTGTCTGCAGCCGCGTGTACTTTGAGTGCCAGCTTCACTCGGGCATGGGTTGTCCAGGGTCCCACTTAGAGGAGCTGGCACACAGCAGTTACTGTGGAATAGGGAAAGAATTCTGAGAGTGAGCGCAAGTGGGATATAGGCTTGCTAGAGGTTTTAATTTTATTTAACACTTTCCTTAATGTGAGAGAATTTGGTGCATTTATGTGGTAGAGAGAGAAGCAGAGGGCTGAGTGATGAGGGGAGGGTCAGGACTGTTGGCTGCTGAGCAGCAGGAGGAGGGGAGCCGGCCTGCCACTCACCCTCCTCCCTGCCTGTGCAGAGCATGTACCAGGGCTACGGCTCCCCCTCCCAGTACGGGATGGCCGGCTCCTACGGCTCAGCCACACCCCAGCAGCCAGCAGCCCCCCAGCACCAAGGCACTCTGAACCAGGTAACGCCCAGCCCGTGTCTGTGTCAGGTTCCGGCTGGGGATGTAGTTTGTGAGTTTTGTTGAGCCACCCGCCTCCTGCCCAGCAAGTCCTGCTTTGAGAATGAAGAGGGCAGAGCAGAGGTTTTGAAACCAGGATGGGTTTGGGGCTTAGCAAGGCCAGGGCCTGGGCTGTTGGGGTGATGGTGGGGGCAGTCTGTAGTGTGGCAGCTTATCTGTGCGTTCCCCCCGCATGTGCACCTGTGCACAGCTGCACGCATGACCTGGCCTTGCACTTACATGCACCTTGGCGGAGTGGTGGGGCTAGTGCAGGGAGGCGAGGGATCTGGGTTCGAATCCCAGCACCCCCTCTGGGGTGTGAGTACAGTTCTGTGACCTGCTGCTCAGCCAGCTCAGTGAGAATGGTGACTGGCTTAATACAGAGCTGCTAGGAGTGTGTAATCGTGTGTGCGCCATGGCTGATAAGGTACACGTGCTCAGACCATAACCACGGGGGGGGGGGCGGGTTGGGGGGGGGCTACTGCCACTTACCAGCTGGGGCCATGGGAAAGGAGCATCTGTCTGAGCCCGTCTTCCCGCCTTCTCAGCCGTGGAAGGGTGGTTAGGAGACCCCGTTCCCCAGGGGAGGGTCATGGCCGGGCTGAAAGCTGAGTGATGTGACCTGAGTGTGAGAGCAGCTGGAGGCTCTGCTCCCGCCCTCAGCGCCACTTCCTCCGACAGCCCCCCGTCCCCGGCATGGATGACGGCATGTCCTACCAGGCCCCTCCCCAGCAGCTGCCAGCAGCTCAGCCCCCTCAGCCCTCCAACCCCTCGCATGGGGCTCACGCTCTGAACAGCGGCCCCCAGCCTGGGACAACGCCAGCCACACAGCACAGCCAGGCGGGGCCCACCTCGGGCCAGGCCTACGGGCAGCACACCTACACCGAGCCGGCCAAGCCCAAGAAGGGCCAGCAGCTGTGGAACCGTATGAAGCGTAAGTGGGCAGCGCAGGGAAGCCAGGGCGCGGGCTGGACCTCGCCCTCGGCAGGGGGCACGGGGTGCAGGGATTGTCCCAAGGCCTCGGGGGGCTGCCTGGAGCTGGGCCTGCCATTCCAGGGGGCTGGGGTAGGCCTAACTCCAGCTTTCGCTGCTCCCCCACCCCCAGCGGCCCCTGGCACTGGTGGTCTCAAGTTCAACATTCAGAAACGGCCCTTCG